TGTGTGAGGTGTGAAGGCATGTAAAGTATCTGGCATGCAGCAGGCCTCATAGATGGGGGTGCACGCTACATCCCTCAAACAGTTCAGTAAACCGGGTGCACATTACATCCCTCTATCACTGCTTAGTAAACAGGGGTGCATGCTACATCCCTCCATCATAGCTCAGTAAACAGGGGTGCATGCCTCATCCCTCCATCACAGCTTTCTCGCGGGCCTGCTCATGCTGGGCTTGGCCCGTGGGGAGGAGGGAGGCAGCGCAGCCCCAGGAGCCTTCCTTCCCCACCCCAGCAGCTCTTGTCTTGTCTTGCTTTTAGGTGATGACAGAGGGTGGCCACAGCAAGGGGTTTGGCTGAGACGGAGTCTCGCTCTGTCGTGCTGGGCTTGGCCCGTGGGGAGGAGGGAGGCAGCGCAGCCCCAGGAGCCTTCCTTCCCCACCCCAGCAGCTCTTGTCTTGTCTTGCTTTTAGGTGATGACAGAGGGTGGCCACAGCAAGGGGTTTGGCTGAGACGGAGTCTCGCTCTGTCGTGCTGGGCTTGGCCCGTGGGGAGGAGGGAGGCAGCGCAGCCCCAGGAGCCTTCCTTCCCCACCCCAGCAGCTCTTGTCTTGTCTTGCTTTTAGGTGATGACAGAGGGTGGCCACAGCAAGGGGTTTGGCTGAGACGGAGTCTCGCTCTGTCGTGCTGGGCTTGGCCCGTGGGGAGGAGGGAGGCAGCGCAGCCCCAGGAGCCTTCCTTCCCCACCCCAGCAGCTCTTGTCTTGTCTTGCTTTTAGGTGATGACAGAGGGTGGCCACAGCAAGGGGTTTGGCTGAGACGGAGTCTCGCTCTGTCGTGCTGGGCTTGGCCCGTGGGGAGGAGGGAGGCAGCGCAGCCCCAGGAGCCTTCCTTCCCCACCCCAGCAGCTCTTGTCTTGTCTTGCTTTTAGGTGATGACAGAGGGTGGCCACAGCAAGGGGTTTGGCTGAGACGGAGTCTCGCTCTGTCGTGCTGGGCTTGGCCCGTGGGGAGGAGGGAGGCAGCGCAGCCCCAGGAGCCTTCCTTCCCCACCCCAGCAGCTCTTGTCTTGTCTTGCTTTTAGGTGATGACAGAGGGTGGCCACAGCAAGGGGTTTGGCTGAGACGGAGTCTCGCTCTGTCGTGCTGGGCTTGGCCCGTGGGGAGGAGGGAGGCAGCGCAGCCCCAGGAGCCTTCCTTCCCCACCCCAGCAGCTCTTGTCTTGTCTTGCTTTTAGGTGATGACAGAGGGTGGCCACAGCAAGGGGTTTGGCTGAGACGGAGTCTCGCTCTGTCGTGCTGGGCTTGGCCCGTGGGGAGGAGGGAGGCAGCGCAGCCCCAGGAGCCTTCCTTCCCCACCCCAGCAGCTCTTGTCTTGTCTTGCTTTTAGGTGATGACAGAGGGTGGCCACAGCAAGGGGTTTGGCTGAGACGGAGTCTCGCTCTGTCGTGCTGGGCTTGGCCCGTGGGGAGGAGGGAGGCAGCGCAGCCCCAGGAGCCTTCCTTCCCCACCCCAGCAGCTCTTGTCTTGTCTTGCTTTTAGGTGATGACAGAGGGTGGCCACAGCAAGGGGTTTGGCTGAGACGGAGTCTCGCTCTGTCGTGCTGGGCTTGGCCCGTGGGGAGGAGGGAGGCAGCGCAGCCCCAGGAGCCTTCCTTCCCCACCCCAGCAGCTCTTGTCTTGTCTTGCTTTTAGGTGATGACAGAGGGTGGCCACAGCAAGGGGTTTGGCTGAGACGGAGTCTCGCTCTGTCGTGCTGGGCTTGGCCCGTGGGGAGGAGGGAGGCAGCGCAGCCCCAGGAGCCTTCCTTCCCCACCCCAGCAGCTCTTGTCTTGTCTTGCTTTTAGGTGATGACAGAGGGTGGCCACAGCAAGGGGTTTGGCTGAGACGGAGTCTCGCTCTGTCGTGCTGGGCTTGGCCCGTGGGGAGGAGGGAGGCAGCGCAGCCCCAGGAGCCTTCCTTCCCCACCCCAGCAGCTCTTGTCTTGTCTTGCTTTTAGGTGATGACAGAGGGTGGCCACAGCAAGGGGTTTGGCTGAGACGGAGTCTCGCTCTGTCGTGCTGGGCTTGGCCCGTGGGGAGGAGGGAGGCAGCGCAGCCCCAGGAGCCTTCCTTCCCCACCCCAGCAGCTCTTGTCTTGTCTTGCTTTTAGGTGATGACAGAGGGTGGCCACAGCAAGGGGTTTGGCTGAGACGGAGTCTCGCTCTGTCGTGCTGGGCTTGGCCCGTGGGGAGGAGGGAGGCAGCGCAGCCCCAGGAGCCTTCCTTCCCCACCCCAGCAGCTCTTGTCTTGTCTTGCTTTTAGGTGATGACAGAGGGTGGCCACAGCAAGGGGTTTGGCTGAGACGGAGTCTCGCTCTGTCGTGCTGGGCTTGGCCCGTGGGGAGGAGGGAGGCAGCGCAGCCCCAGGAGCCTTCCTTCCCCACCCCAGCAGCTCTTGTCTTGTCTTGCTTTTAGGTGATGACAGAGGGTGGCCACAGCAAGGGGTTTGGCTGAGACGGAGTCTCGCTCTGTCGTGCTGGGCTTGGCCCGTGGGGAGGAGGGAGGCAGCGCAGCCCCAGGAGCCTTCCTTCCCCACCCCAGCAGCTCTTGTCTTGTCTTGCTTTTAGGTGATGACAGAGGGTGGCCACAGCAAGGGGTTTGGCTGAGACGGAGTCTCGCTCTGTCGTGCTGGGCTTGGCCCGTGGGGAGGAGGGAGGCAGCGCAGCCCCAGGAGCCTTCCTTCCCCACCCCAGCAGCTCTTGTCTTGTCTTGCTTTTAGGTGATGACAGAGGGTGGCCACAGCAAGGGGTTTGGCTGAGACGGAGTCTCGCTCTGTCGTGCTGGGCTTGGCCCGTGGGGAGGAGGGAGGCAGCGCAGCCCCAGGAGCCTTCCTTCCCCACCCCAGCAGCTCTTGTCTTGTCTTGCTTTTAGGTGATGACAGAGGGTGGCCACAGCAAGGGGTTTGGCTGAGACGGAGTCTCGCTCTGTCGTGCTGGGCTTGGCCCGTGGGGAGGAGGGAGGCAGCGCAGCCCCAGGAGCCTTCCTTCCCCACCCCAGCAGCTCTTGTCTTGTCTTGCTTTTAGGTGATGACAGAGGGTGGCCACAGCAAGGGGTTTGGCTGAGACGGAGTCTCGCTCTGTCGTGCTGGGCTTGGCCCGTGGGGAGGAGGGAGGCAGCGCAGCCCCAGGAGCCTTCCTTCCCCACCCCAGCAGCTCTTGTCTTGTCTTGCTTTTAGGTGATGACAGAGGGTGGCCACAGCAAGGGGTTTGGCTGAGACGGAGTCTCGCTCTGTCGTGCTGGGCTTGGCCCGTGGGGAGGAGGGAGGCAGCGCAGCCCCAGGAGCCTTCCTTCCCCACCCCAGCAGCTCTTGTCTTGTCTTGCTTTTAGGTGATGACAGAGGGTGGCCACAGCAAGGGGTTTGGCTGAGACGGAGTCTCGCTCTGTCGTGCTGGGCTTGGCCCGTGGGGAGGAGGGAGGCAGCGCAGCCCCAGGAGCCTTCCTTCCCCACCCCAGCAGCTCTTGTCTTGTCTTGCTTTTAGGTGATGACAGAGGGTGGCCACAGCAAGGGGTTTGGCTGAGACGGAGTCTCGCTCTGTCGTGCTGGGCTTGGCCCGTGGGGAGGAGGGAGGCAGCGCAGCCCCAGGAGCCTTCCTTCCCCACCCCAGCAGCTCTTGTCTTGTCTTGCTTTTAGGTGATGACAGAGGGTGGCCACAGCAAGGGGTTTGGCTGAGACGGAGTCTCGCTCTGTCGTGCTGGGCTTGGCCCGTGGGGAGGAGGGAGGCAGCGCAGCCCCAGGAGCCTTCCTTCCCCACCCCAGCAGCTCTTGTCTTGTCTTGCTTTTAGGTGATGACAGAGGGTGGCCACAGCAAGGGGTTTGGCTGAGACGGAGTCTCGCTCTGTCGTGCTGGGCTTGGCCCGTGGGGAGGAGGGAGGCAGCGCAGCCCCAGGAGCCTTCCTTCCCCACCCCAGCAGCTCTTGTCTTGTCTTGCTTTTAGGTGATGACAGAGGGTGGCCACAGCAAGGGGTTTGGCTGAGACGGAGTCTCGCTCTGTCGTGCTGGGCTTGGCCCGTGGGGAGGAGGGAGGCAGCGCAGCCCCAGGAGCCTTCCTTCCCCACCCCAGCAGCTCTTGTCTTGTCTTGCTTTTAGGTGATGACAGAGGGTGGCCACAGCAAGGGGTTTGGCTGAGACGGAGTCTCGCTCTGTCGTGCTGGGCTTGGCCCGTGGGGAGGAGGGAGGCAGCGCAGCCCCAGGAGCCTTCCTTCCCCACCCCAGCAGCTCTTGTCTTGTCTTGCTTTTAGGTGATGACAGAGGGTGGCCACAGCAAGGGGTTTGGCTGAGACGGAGTCTCGCTCTGTCGTGCTGGGCTTGGCCCGTGGGGAGGAGGGAGGCAGCGCAGCCCCAGGAGCCTTCCTTCCCCACCCCAGCAGCTCTTGTCTTGTCTTGCTTTTAGGTGATGACAGAGGGTGGCCACAGCAAGGGGTTTGGCTGAGACGGAGTCTCGCTCTGTCGTGCTGGGCTTGGCCCGTGGGGAGGAGGGAGGCAGCGCAGCCCCAGGAGCCTTCCTTCCCCACCCCAGCAGCTCTTGTCTTGTCTTGCTTTTAGGTGATGACAGAGGGTGGCCACAGCAAGGGGTTTGGCTTTGTGTGTTTTTCCTCCCCAGAAGAGGCGACAAAGGCCGTGACAGAGATGAACGGGCGCATCGTGGGCACCAAGCCACTCTACGTGGCACTGGCCCAGCGCAAAGAGGAGCGGAAGGCCATCTTGACCAACCAGTACATGCAACGCCTCTCCACCATGCGGACCCTGAGCAACCCCCTCCTGGGCTCCTTTCAGCAGCCCTCCAGCTACTTCCTGCCTGCCGTGCCCCAGGTGACGTCCTGCCCACAACTCCCACCGCAGCCTTCCCCCCTGCCCCAGCCAGGTAGAGCGTGAAGACTAGAGTAGGGAAACGGAGGTTTCTAACTTGCTTCTGCTGAGGACTCACGAGGAAGTCTTTGTTTTCCTCTCTATAAAAGGGAGAGAGAGTGTTAGTCAAATGGCATTTCCCAGTGAGAGAAGCTCATGAATGTTGTGCTGAAAAAGACTCTCAATGATCCAGCAAGTATGGGAAATGTTGCGTTCAGCAAAATAAACCTACATTTTTCTTTCTTTTTTTTTTTTACTTTTTCTGTAAATCTAAAGTTACTCCAAAGTAAAAAGTTTATTTTAACAAAAAGGCTAAGAACCTCTTTCTCAAATTCCTAAAGAACTTGGCTTGGTACTTAGCAGAGGCAATAGAAGTTTACCAGAACAGTGTGTTGGGTTGAGTCCTGGCTAACGTACGAACCACTAGCTGAGTGACCCCAGAGAAATCACTCTTTTGAGTCTCTCTTATCCCGGCTGTAAAGTGGGAGCCGCGATGCCTCCCGCATCGGGAGATTGTATGTGTGAGGTGTGAAGGCATGTAAAGTATCTGGCATGCAGCAGGCCTCATAGATGGGGGTGCACGCTACATCCCTCAAACAGTTCAGTAAACCGGGTGCACATTACATCCCTCTATCACTGCTTAGTAAACAGGGGTGCATGCTACATCCCTCCATCATAGCTCAGTAAACAGGGGTGCATGCCTCATCCCTCCATCACAGCTTTCTCGCGGGCCTGCTCATGCTGGGCTTGGCCCGTGGGGAGGAGGGAGGCAGCGCAGCCCCAGGAGCCTTCCTTCCCCACCCCAGCAGCTCTTGTCTTGTCTTGCTTTTAGGTGATGACAGAGGGTGGCCACAGCAAGGGGTTTGGCTTTGTGTGTTTTTCCTCCCCAGAAGAGGCGACAAAGGCCGTGACAGAGATGAACGGGCGCATCGTGGGCACCAAGCCACTCTACGTGGCACTGGCCCAGCGCAAAGAGGAGCGGAAGGCCATCTTGACCAACCAGTACATGCAACGCCTCTCCACCATGCGGACCCTGAGCAACCCCCTCCTGGGCTCCTTTCAGCAGCCCTCCAGCTACTTCCTGCCTGCCGTGCCCCAGGTGACGTCCTGCCCACAACTCCCACCGCAGCCTTCCCCCCTGCCCCAGCCAGGTAGAGCGTGAAGACTAGAGTAGGGAAACGGAGGTTTCTAACTTGCTTCTGCTGAGGACTCACGAGGAAGTCTTTGTTTTCCTCTCTATAAAAGGGAGAGAGAGTGTTAGTCAAATGGCATTTCCCAGTGAGAGAAGCTCATGAATGTTGTGCTGAAAAAGACTCTCAATGATCCAGCAAGTATGGGAAATGTTGCGTTCAGCAAAATAAACCTACATTTTTCTTTCTTTTTTTTTTTTTTTGAGGCGGGATCTCCGTGTCACCCAGGCTGGAGAGCAATGGCGTGATCATGGCTCACTGCAGCCTTGAATTTCTGGGCTTGAGTGATCCTCCCACTTTAGCCTCCTGAGTAGCTGGGACTACAAGTGCATGCCACCATGCCCAGCTGATTTTTTGTTTATTTTAAAGAAAGGGGTCTCGCCATGTTGCCCAGGCTGGTCTCAAACTCCTGGGCTCAAGCAGTCCTCCTTCCTTGGCCTCCCAAAGTGCTGGCATTACAGGAGTGAGCCACTGTGCTCTGCCCTACATTTTTAAAAAAATTAAATTAATTTTTTTTTTTTTTTTTTTGAGACAGAGTCTTGCTCTGTTGCCCAGAATGGAGTACAGTGACAACATCTTGGCTCGCTGCACACTCTGCCTCCTGGGTTCAAGTGATTCTTGTGCCTCAGCCTCCCAGGTAGCTGGGATTACAGGTGCGTGCCACCACACGCGGCTAATTTTTTGTGTTTTTAGTAGAGACAGGGTTTCACCATGTTGGCCAGGCTGGTCTTGAACTCCTGACCTCAAGTGATCTGCCCTCCTTGGCCTCCCAAAGTGCTGGGATTACAGGCATGAGCCACCATGACCTAAATTTCTTTACTGTCTATACTGTTCTACCCTAAGATGCCAATTTCTACTGAGACTCTCCAAAACAGGCACAGATTATCCAGCATTTCCCCAGCTTAGATGGTCATTTTTTGTGGGATGCCTGTTAACATCTCCCCTGGATGTTAATGTTCTGAGGAGCATGGTTTGGGAAAGGACCTCATGGGACTTAGAGGAAGTAGAAAGATGTCACCCATTAAAGGCCACCAGGGTGAGAACATTCCTCTCCTTTTAGCAGTTGCTTAAGCTGGCACAAGTTGGAGTAAGATGTCACCCTTTTTATCCAGGTCATTGGGCTAGCTGACAAGGAGCCAATATTGAAATCTAAGATCTTTGCCCTGGAGGATTCAGGGCTAATGGACATCCTGAGATGGGAGGAAGGAACTTTCATTTCAGCCTTGTGGGTCTTGACCTACCAGTCCCTGCAGGAGCCAGTGGAGTTCCTGCCATGGTGTCCCTGAAGAGCTGTAGCTTCTCACCTACCCTGCTGCCAAGTCCCTCAGTCTGGATCTTCTTTTCCCATGCAGCCTCCAGCCCAGGCTGCATACTATGGCTGTGGCCCGGTGACACCCACCCAGCCTGCTCCCAGGTGGACGTCCCAGCCACCTAGACCTTCCTGTGAGTGACCCAGCCCCTTCCACTCTGACTGGCCTATTGGTGTGGGCCCCATGAGGCAGTCATAACACAGGGATGAAACCTGGCTCTGCCACTTTCCAGGGTGGGTGACTTCACTTCTCTGAGCCTCAGTTTCCTCTTCTGAGCATGGGCCTGAATGAGATGTGTGTAAAGTACCAAGCACAGTGGTGAGCCAATGAAAGACACACAGCTAGCCACCAGCAGTCATCGCCAAAGACGCCTCTGATTTGTGACTCTGAAAATTCTTGCAAAGCTGAGAAGATGAAACTCCTGTGGCTATATTATTGACCAAAGGCCCTCTTCTATAAGAGTGAAATGCACACTCACTTGAAACTGTCTTGGAGACTAAGGTGTGCGATCATGGTGCTTATGCAGTTTGGGGCTCTGGGTAGACACGAGCTGGATTTGAAATTGTAGATTCCTACACTCCCCCTCTCTGGAGTTCTGGGTCTAAGTGAATTGACTCCTATTTCTGTTGTGAATGTTGTAGTTTCCCTTCCCATTCTCTTGGTGGCCCTGGAAGCCTCTAGGCACAGTGTGCCACCCTGATTATTCCCACCATTCCATCCAACTTTTCTCTCTGTGGTGTCTGCACCACAAGCTGCCTACCCTCCAGGTGCCTCAATGGTCCGGCCACCAGTCATGCCTCGTCGCCCCCCAGCCCACATCAGCAGTGTCAGGCAGGCCTCCACCCAGGTGCCACGCATGGTGCCTCATACCCAGAGAGTAGGTGAGTGTGGGTTGGGCCAAGGGGAATGGGGGTGGGGCAAAGTTGGCACCAGGAGTCAGGACCAGCCTCCATGGTGACCTTGCCATACACCCTCTCGGTGAACAAGGCCAACTTTGGAGACTGTAGCGTGGTAGTTAGCTTGGCCTCCAGTTCCTGGGACCAGCTGACTCAGGCCTCTGCTGACTACTACATCCGATCACCTAATCTGTAAAATGGATGCCAGTGGATCACCTGAGGTCAGGAGTCGAGACCAGCCTGGCCAACATGGTGAACACCCTGCTCTCTACTAAAATAGAAAAATTGCCCCAGGTACGGTGGTATGTGCCTGTAATCCCAGCTACTTGGAAGCTGAGGCAGGAGAATTGCTTAGAACCCGGGAAGGCAGAGGTTGCAGTGAGCCGAGATCACACCATTATACTCCAGCCTGGGCGATAGAATGAGATTTGATCTTACAAAAAAAAAAAAAAAATTAAGGCTGGCATGTGGCTCATGCCTGTAATCTCAGCACTTTGGGAGTCCGAGGCAGGCGGATCCCCTGAGATCGGGAGTTCAAGACCAACCTGACCAACATGGAGAAACCCCGTTTCTACTAAAACCAAAATTACAGGCATGGTGGTGCATGCCTACAATCCCCCAGCTACTTGGGAGGCTGAGGCAGGAGAATCACTTAAATCTGGAGGCGAAGGTTGCAGTGAGCAGAGATCATGCCATTGCACTCCAGCCCTGGGCAACAAGAATGAAACTCTGCCTCAAAAAAAAAAAAAAAAATTTAAATTCTCTACAATAAAATGGGGGTACTTTTTTTTTTTTTTTTTTTTTTTGAGACAGAGTCTCGCTCTGTCGCCCAGGCTGGATGCAGTGGCCAGATCTCAGCTCACTGCAAGCTCCGCCTCCCGGGTTTACGCCATTCTCCTGCCTCAGCCTCCCGATGTAGCTGGGACTACAGGCGCCCACCACCTCGC